CACACGGTGAAAAAGGGCAGGGGGGGAGAAGCGGCAGTGTTTGAAATTACCATAGCGTTTAATGGAAGGAATTTTGCTGCATAAAACCCCCATCCCTGTATCACTTTAACTTTAACTCGAAATCAGGCCAACAACAAATAACATCTTTACTGTTCAAACCTGCCCTGAGCCTGTCAAGGGGAGGGCAGGATACAAATCCAATAAATAATAATTTTAAAAATCTGGTTTAGAACAGTAATGTGAAAAGGGCCTGTGTGACTGAAGTTAAGCTGTGGCAATAATTTTACGCCTGACTCCACCTCCTGCAGCAACCATTTTGTGACAGGAATTTTGTTGCTGTGCCCACCACACCATCTCAGAATTCCAAAGGTACCTGCAGGCTCAAAAAAGATTGGGGGGCCCTGTGCTAGGGAAAGCCCTGGTGAACCCTAGAACAATGGAAGGTCTGTACCTAGGGGCTCCTTGAAAGATGATTCAGAATGAGTTCCCTGAAGCTAGATAGTGTAAGCAGATTTTTATAACCATGGACAGCTTAAAAGCCACTAAAGTAAAAATTAAACAAGTTTTTAAAAGGAGCTCCTTTACTAAAATTAATCAATAGCCCCAGGCCTCTTTCCCTTGCCTTGCGTCAGTAGAACTTGAAGCACAAAGAAGGTGCTGGGCCCCGCTGGAATGCAGCAAAAGAGAGACCCACAGGTTACAGAGGAGAGAAACCTTTCCCACTTCTCTTCTATCAGCTGTTCTGCAGTCTTTGTTTTGTTCTCTTCTGTGGGACAAGCTAGATGTTACAGTGACATGACCCACGTATCAGAATCAGGTCACCACTCATTTCCTGCAAAGCTGGAGGTGGGGTGGGGAAAGAAATTGAAGTATACTATGGGCAGGAAGGGCAGGGGTGTGCTGCACCTTTGCTCCCCCCACACACACACACACACTGGTTTCCATTTAAAGCTGGTTTGGTCCATAATTTTTTCCCCATGGGGGAGGGGAGCGGGGGAGGAACGGTTTCAGAGGGAAGGGAGCGTATGGCGGAAGGCTCAGTATGCACACATCTTGCCTGCCTGCTCTGCCTTTAAATTTCTGCCAAACCTCACTTTACAGAAAATTGGCAGAGGCTCAGGTCTAAGATTTGAGACTGCTGGTGTCACATCTAGTTTACTCCACAGTTACTAGAGGCACGTGCCTTTTCTCAGTGGCTGATTGCTTACAGATGTTTGAAGTTCTTGAGTAAAAGAGAGATGCAGAAATCTCTGCCAGCAGAGCAGCTTGCACTCTGTACTGAGCAAGCATTCTTCAGAGCCAAAGGCATCTGGGAACAATTTGCTAGCGCACACACACACACCCTTTATTTCTTACTGAAGCTTTATGCCTGGAATATAGTACATATCTGATTATATTTAGTGCTTGTCTACTAAGATGGTTGTCATGGATATTTTTTAATCTGGCCAATTTTACAGCATTATTGCAAAGCTACTTAAAGCAACTTTTACAAAAAATTGAATAGAATATATCAGATCCCAATGTGTTTAAAGCTAAGATGTGCTTTATTAAGGGATATTAAGGACAAATATTAGTCTCTTCAGCATTTATGCTTGGACGTAGCCTGATAAGATCTGTGGCATTAGACTAATGCAAAGCAATTTTTCATATAATTCTCTAGTAAACAGGTTGTTGTTGTTGTTTTAAATAATCATTTGGGCTTCTTAGTGGTAGATAGCATATATTTGGTAATATTAGGAAATTTGAGGGGATAGAACTGAGTTCCAACAGCAGAACTATGTGTTACTTACAGTTCCATGATGATTTGGAGGGATGCTTTTTCTTGTTTACAATGTGTCCACTGAGACTGAAATTTGCCACAGTGAAGTTGAGTTCCTAGCCATTTCCACTGATGCTTTTCCCCCCGACCACCTCCCCACTATTTTCATCCCTGCTGAGAGAAAAATTCATGCAGAAAATTGTTGTTGTTTTTGACACATTTCTTTCAGTCAGCATGATGACGTCCTTGTCTCCTGACCACTCAGTTGTCTTATGATAAATTGTTTTGAATAAGTCTAAATTGAAGACCTGACCAGGCTACTTCTGTGCCCAGACTATGGATAACGTGAGGCTAGAACCTGGGTTCAAACTCTACTATGAAGCTCACCAGGTGACATTGGGCCGACACTTTTTCTCAGCCTAACCTATTTGCAGAATTGTTGTGAGGATAAAACGGGGATAAGGAAAAATCACACACCTTGAGCTGAGCTTCTTGGGAAAAGGGCAAGGTTAAAATGTAGTAAATAGTTACTGCCGTCATTCATCTCCCCTGATGAAGCGTATCTCATCTTGGTACAGGGGGATCAAGGAAGTTGCCTCTTAAGAACCCTGCTGGATCAGGCCAAAGGCTTATCGATTGTAGCATCCTGTTCCTCACAAAGGCTAATCAAATACTTCTGGAAAGCCCACAACAAAAAGTACAAAGACCTATAGTCCTTCAGCAACTGGTATTCAGAGGCATTCTCCCTCTAAATGTGAAGGTTCCATTTACCTACTATGGCTATTAATAGTTTATCTAATTAGGCCCCAGGCACACGGGCCGGATATCGCGGGGGGAGGCGTGGCTAATAGCCCCAGCACAGTTTGATCCGCGATTAGGTGATCAGGCGCGCCGGCGGCACAGCACGGGTCCTTCCCTCGGTGCCAGCGGGTAAACGAGGGACCGGAGGGGAATGCCATGTGCCGGCGCAATCACACCACGGGCGTCTAGAGGCAGCCCATGGCAAACGTTTACTAGTACCTTGGAGGTACTAGTTTTTAAATGTGCATTGTCGGCGGTAAGCCGCGGGTGCGCTCCACTTCCCAGTGTGAACACGCCCGGATAATCCACCCACCTTCCGTGCCTCTCCCGCAGCAACTTTGCCGTGTGACTGGGGCCTTAGTTTATCTACCCCCACAAATTAGATACATTTATTTTATCCACAAGTTTATCAAATCCCACTTTAACAGAGGCCTAGCTACATATGCAGCAGAATGAGGCGGCAAGAATTTGTGGCAGTAGAATGGGAAATACCATTTCAGGCTGCTGGTGGGGAGGTCACTTTGCAATGCTGCCTCACATACTAGGTATCTCCCTGTAATTTTTAATTTTAAAAAAATTAGCACATCAGGGGGAAAGATTCTAGCCTAGCTCTTCACATGCAGCTCTAGTTTTCCACTGAGGGGGAATTATTAACACAGAGGAACTCTGAAACATGTAATTCCACATTTACAGTCTGAAATGGTATATAATCCATTGCTCATCACTCTTCCACCCCATAGTGCTGCACATCTAGATCCAGTGACAGTGAATTTCATTTTAATGATTCACTGTATGAAAAAGTACTTTATTTTGTTGGCCTCACATTTCAAATTCTTATAGTTCTTGATAGCATGGGTTTACCTTTCAAGCTTAAAACTACCCAAAGAACAATCTGTCACAGTGTAAGTGGTTAATCTGGAGAACTGGGTTTGGTTCCCCACTCCTCCACATGAAGCTTGCTGGGTGACTTTGGGCGAGTCACTGTTCTCTCAGAACTCTCTCAGCCCCACCTATCTCACAGGGAGTCTGTTGTGGGGAGAGGAAGGGAAGGCAATTGTAAGCCGCTTTGAGACTCCTTAGAGTAGAGGAAAGCAGAGAGAGAGAGTAAAATGGATTTAAATAGTGGTGGCACACACAGTGAAATGTCATTGTTCCAATGAAGGTCACAATCCTGTGCAGTTTTACAAGAGGGGAGTATGTGTATTGTGTTAAGGGTCATCAGGTAGCTTCCATCTTATGGCAACCCTATGAATGAATTACTTCCTATTATTAACCGCCTTCCTCAGGTCTTGCAAACTGAGGGCCATGGCTTCCTTGATGGAGCTAATCCATCTCATGTTGGGTCTTCCTCTTTTGTTACTGCCTTTAACTTTTCCTAGCATTATTGTAGCTGAAGAAGTGCATTTGCACACAAAAGCTTCTACCTTGAATAAAATTTTGTTGGTCTTAAAGGTGCCACTGGACTCAAACTTTGTTCTGCTGCTTCAGATCAACACAGCTATCCACCTGAACCTGTCTTTCCCAGTAACTCTTGTCTTTCTCATAATGTGACCAAAGTATGATAGCATTTTAGCTTCTAGGGAAACCTAGCCCCATTAAATACAGTGGGACCTGCTTCTCAGTAAAT